AGAGAGAGAGAGAGAGAGAGACAGAGAGAGACAGAGAGAGACAGAGATGATGATGATGATGATAGTCGTTTATTAGCTTCAATAGCTACATAAGAAGTTTTCTTATACATTACAATAATAAATATCTGAAATTAATAACTCTGAAAGTAGCCTACTACGCAACTCTATTATATATTATATATTTGCTCCCCTTTCTCTTATCTGAATATGTTTCGCTACCATTCTTCTGAAATGCGGCAATCTGTCTTCTCTTTTTATTTCGTTGGGTAACGCATTGTACATTTTCATTCCTTCATACCATAACATTTTCTGTTCTTCCGTAGTTCTACATCTGTTGATATAAATATTTCCTTTTTGCCGTGTACTTACACCCTCTCTATATTGCACTAATTCTATATTATTTTGCAAATATATGGGACATAACCCATTTACAATTTTATATATGAGTACACATGTATTGTACTCGATCCTTTCTTTTATCGACATAAAATGTAGTGCTTCTAACATATCACTGATTCTCACTCTGTTATTACATCTAAGTATTATTCTCATCCCTTGGTTTTGCATTTTTTGTAGATGCTCCAAATTTGTTTTACTTATACCCACTAGTATAGATGAGCAATATTCGAACAATGGACTTACTATTGCTTTATATACAATGCACCTCATGTTTGCTGATAGTTCCCTCCCAATTCTCCGCATAACACCTAATTTCGCTCCTACCTTTTTACTAATATAATCTACATGTTTAGAAAAATTTAAATTTTTATCAATTATTATTCCTAGATATTTAATTTCACTTACAATTTCTAGTACCTTATTCTGCAGTTTAATTTTTAAATTGTCCTCTATTGCTTTCTTTCTAACTCCTCTTATTAACATAATCTTAGTCTTATCAACATTAACATACAGCCTATTTATCTTTAACCATTTTTCCACTTTTACCATTTGCTCATTGAGATTATTATTAATTTCTATACTAGAATACCCTGTTGTATAAATCAACGCATCATCCGCGAACAATCTTATTGCACACTTATCATTAATAGCCTCTATAATGTCATTTATATATAATAGGAATAACAAAGGTCCTAAAACTGACCCCTGAGGAAAACCTAAATCTACATTAACGGGAGTTGACAGAACCCCACTAAATTTTACTCTCTGAGATCTATTTTTCTAAGTAACTTTTAAACCAATTTAATACTGCTCCTTTTATTCCATACCATTGTAATTTTTTTATCAAGATTTCTCTGTCCACTACTTCAAATGCTCTTCTTAGATCTAAGAAAACCACTCCTATCATTTTTCCGTCCCCTATTGTTTTTTTCCAGTCCGAAACTACCCACTGTAAAGCAGTTTCGCATGAATGCTTTGCCCTGAAGCCCGATTGACATTCTCTAAGCAATTTATTATTTTCTAAGTATTCTACTAATTGTTTCTGAACTATTATCTCCAATATTTTCTCGTATACTGGCAATTTATTTATCGGTCGGAATTCTTCAATTTTATTTGTTCCTCGAACTTTGGGTATCGGAACTACAATCGCTTCTTTCCACTTCTCAGGGAACATTCCTTCTTCGAGTGACTTATTTAGTATATGACATATTTTCTCTGCTGCTGCTTCTACTACATGTTTCATTATTTCTACAGTTATACCTTCTTCTGTACCGGCTTTGTTTTCTAATTTTCGGACTATTTTACATAATTGCTCTACTTCAATTTGTGTAAATACTTCTAGAACACAGTCGGCATATTTTCTATTCGCTATGCAGTCTTCTCTACTATTTATATATGTTAGCGCCCTAATAGAGAGAGAGAGAGAGAGAGAGAGAGAGAGAGAGAGAGAGAGAGAGAGGGAGAGGGAGAGGGAGAGAGGGGAGGGGGAGGGGGAGGGGGAGAGGGAAAAGTGGGAGAGAGGAAGAGAGGGAGAGCGAGAGAGAGAGAATGACGGGAACCAGACGAGAGGAACCAGGTCTGCCTCCCTCTCCCTCTTTCCTTGCTTTTCCTATCTCTTTTTCTCTCTTTTTTTCCCTCTTTCTCCTTCCCACCCTTCTTTTCTCTCTCTTTCCTCCCTCTATTTCCCACCCTCCCGTCCTCCCCCTCAACCTTTCACTCTCCCTTCCCCTGCCTCCCTCTCCCTCCCACCCTCCCAACAATAACATGCTGAAATGAAACCGGCACTACCACCATGTGAAAAACTTTAATTGATTTTTGAGATTTTAAGTTGCCCGTTCTCAGCCTCTAAGTAATTGCTTGGACAACAATCGGTTCTAGGAAGTTGTGAGTTACATCGGTAGGAAGAAAATACCACAGTTTGGAGCGATTCTGACGTAAGCCAAAAAATGGCCTTATTGACACTCCTCCTTTTCAGCTGCGTCTTCTTTTTTAATTTTCAAAATTTTGCTTTTAGTAAAATTTTCAAAAAAAGGTTGGAGGCAGAAGATGAGCTCTGATCAAGTTGAAATTTTACAGATATTAGTTTTAGACATATTTGCATCTTTTCCGCCTAGTTGCGTTATAAAATTCAAAAATTTTGTTTTTTATATACAAGTTCGCACCACCTTAATGACTATGTAGAAAAGTAAAGTTGATGTTTTTTTTATCGGTAATAACATTTAAAAAAAATTTTTTTTTTTAATGCTCAACTGATCTTTATTTGAAATATATTTTGTATCATATGTAGATCTATGAGCCGCTGGAGGCTTAGGCGCGTATAATTTGTAAACAATAGCTTTCCATGTCACCTATGAGGTACTATTGTTGACACTGTACGCACCCGGGTTGTGATGGGTGCGGGAATTACGTAACAATTTTATGCTTGATATGCTTTATTTCGTTATACTTGCACAAAATATAAATTTCTTATGACGAGCGCTAACAAACGTGTCTTCTCTTCGCCCGCCATGTTACTTCACTCTGCACTGCGACATCTTTACGCGCAGCCACCTACTAACATATCGCCCGCCTTGAAAGACCTGGCTTTCAACGAGATATTACAAGTATTTGTACTCTCAGGACTTATGCTAATCTTATCGCTACACGTAAATACAAACAAATAGGAGTTTATACATCAATAGGTAAAATACAGAGTTTCGCTACAGTACGTTGCACTATGCCTTTCGCAGTCTTTACACTTACGACTCTGACTTTTCCATCACTGCCTTCGTGGCATTCAGTTACACGCCCTAATGCCCATTGCATCGAGGGTGCATTATCATCTCGCAATAGCACCAATGTGCCTACCTTGATCGGGGAAACTTGATCTTCGCGATTCTATTTGAATCTCTGTTGGAGATTAGACAAATATTCTGTGGACCAACGAGTCCAAAACGTTTGAACTAATTTAGTGAGATATTGGAAACGCGTAAGACGATTGGAAGGAGTTTCAACAAAGTTCTGCTGTGGTATGGCGTTAAGAGGTTCCCCGATCAGGAAATGTCCTGGGGTTAACGCACGCAGATCCGTTGGATCGCTCGAAATCGGAGTAAGCGGTCGCGAGTTCAATACCGACTCTATTTGAGTAAGAATAGTGTACATCTCCTCAAACGTTAATAGAGCTTCGCCGAGTACGCGCCGCATATGCGCTTTGATAGATTTTATACCGGCCTCCCACAAGCCGCCCATATGGGGAGAGTATGGAGGAATGAAATGCCACTGTATGGCGTGATCTGAACAATGTCGCTCGATAACCTCTTGATGATCGAACGTCGTGATTAGATCGTAAAACTCCGCTAACTCGTTTTTAGCGCCCTTAAAATTACTACCGTTGTCGGAATAAATATACGCACACTTGCCGCGCCGCGCAATAAATCGCTTAAGTGCATTAAGAAATGCCGGAGTGCTTAAATCGGAAACTAATTCGATATGTATTGCTTTGGTAGACATACACACGAAAACACAGACGTACGCTTTACAAGTTTTGTTACGCGAAAGTTTTAAGCTGAACGGGCCGCCGTAATCAACGCCTACGTTCACAAACGCGCGAGTATACGTTACACGATGTGCCGGTAACTCACCCATAAGGTGTCGTGCAGCATACGGTCTGGCTCTGAAGCAAATAATACATTTATGCAAAATCTTTCTGATAGTTGACCTAGCAGATAAGATCCAATAAGATTCTTGTAATGTAGAAAGTAAAGCCTGTGCACCGAGATGCAAATTTCTACAGTGCTCATCGCGAATGATAAGATGGGTGACGTGATGATTAGAAGGCAAGACAATTGGGTGCTGACGCGAATACTCGATTTGTGCGTTCCTCAATCGTCCTCCCACTCGGATGATTCCTTCCTTGTCCAGAAAGGGATGCAGTGTCAGTAAACGACTGTCATGTCGAACACGTTGCTCGATATTTAGATCGTGGATTTCACGTGGAAAACAATGTGCTTGTACCAACTTAATGATCAGCCGCATCGCTTGATCCAGTTCGTTGACGCTCAATGGTCGTATCTGTCGCGTAGTACTTGATTTAATTGGTTCTTTCCAACGTAAGCAATATGCAATAACTCGCTTCAGTCTAGAAAGAGATGAAAACCGACTGAGTATATCGTTATCTTCGAAGATTTGCGTGAACGTGGTGCTGGATGCTTTGGTCTCCGGAATCTCGCCGATTACCGGGGGAATCGTTTCGTGAAGATGCTCCGCAGGATCGTACAACCACTCAGGTCCTTCCCACCAGAGACGGAGATGCTTTAGTTGATTTGGGTTCACCCCTCTGGAGATAACGTCCGCTGGATTGTCCTCTGATTTTACATGATGCCACATTTCCTTTTCTGTTAATTGATGGATCTCCGTGATCCGATTGGCAACGAAGGTTTTGCGTTGATAAGGTTCGCCGTATATCCATGCTAGAACAATTTCTGAATTGCACCAATAAAAGCGAGCTTGAATGCTTAATGATAGCGTATCCATTACTAGCTTAACCAGTTTTGCTAGCAGAAGAGCTGCGAGGAGTTCCAGTCGAGGAACACAGATTGTTTTCAATGGCGCGACCTTTGACTTCGCGCATAATAGCCGAATTGTAATCCTTCCTTGAGTATCGATCGATCGTAAGTATACGCAAGCCACATAGGCTGCTTCCGATGCATCGGAGAACCCATGAAGTTCAATGCGCACGGGGTTTCCGCAGACAACCACGCGCGGAATAGAGATGTCGTTGATTGCAGGAAGCTGTTCGAGATAGTTGAGCCACTCAGAATGTAGGCTGCTAGGAAGTGATTCGTCCCATGTAAGATTTAACTGCCACATGCGTTGGAGCAAGATCTTCGCAGTTATAGTGACTGGCCCCACTAATCCCAATGGATCGAAGATCTGAGACGCGACCGATAGTACTTTGCGCTTTGTGACGCGACCCTCTGTGTTTCTGAAGGTCACTCGATATTGTAGTGTGTCCTTGCGGGAAGCCCACGAAAGACCGAGAGTTTTCACTTCGTCTCCGATGTTTAATAGTTGCGGAATCTCGTCTGCACTGGATGAGAGGAGAGTCGGTTCGTTAGAGTTCCATTTGGCCAACGTGAAGCCTGCTGATCTCAATATTTCAATGAGATCTGTCTTCAGGGATCGAAGTGCGTTTATGTCATCGTCGCCGGTGAGGAGATCATCTACGCAGAAATCCTCCAATATGACTTTACTCGCAATCGGATGAGATTGTTTCGCATCATGAGCTGCTTGCTGCATAGATCGAATTGCTAAAAATGCTGAGGCTGCTTCGCCATATGTAACTGTATTTACTGAGTAATCCAGTAATGGTAAACTGCTGGCTGGTCTCCACACGATTCGCTGCAAATTTCTCTGCTCCTCGATAATCTCGACCTGTCTGTACATCTTCACGATGTCAGCTGTTAGTACGAATTGGTGTTGTCGGAATCGCAGCACGATTACAAATAACGTTGGCTGGATCGTGGGTCCGACTTGCAAAATGTCATTAAGAGACTTTCCTGAAGTTGTCTTGGCAGAAGCGTTGAAGACTACCCGAAGCTTATTCTGCCCGTTAACTTGGGTAACTACGGCATGATGTGGGATGTAATACACCGGCGAGGTGTTACTTGTTGTATCGTTTACGACGGTCATGTGACCCAATGATTCGTAATCCTGCATAAACTTGACGTAAGCTGCCTTGAGCTCAGGATCGCGTTCTAGCTTCTGTTCGATTTTGTAGAATCGCTTCACCGCGGTACTACGGGATTCGCCCAACTCGCTGGGGTCCCCTTTGAATGGTAGACTGACTATAAACCGTCCACTTGCGTCCCGTTTGTAGGTCTGCAGAAAGTGGAGTTCGCACGATTCGTCGCTCTTTGATCGCACCGGCGCCCGGTCGATCTCTTCTATCGTCCAAAACCTTTCGACCTGCTTTTGAAGTGCCGCGTCTGCTGTTATGTAACTGATTGATGCAGGCGATTGAGTGACTGGAGTAATATCACCAGCGGCTATCCATCCAAGATGCGTCTTCTGGAGGACTGGTTGATTGCGACCTAGTTTTATCTGGCCAATGCAAAGAAGATCCCAAAATATGCTTGCTCCTAATATCACGTCAACCCTACCTGGAAGGTGAAACGTGCTGTCAGCGAGATTTATATTAGGAGGGATTTTGAGATGACCGATTTCGACTGCTGCTATGGGCAGGTTCTCGGTTATTCGTTCAATAATCAAAAATTGACGCTTAGTTTTATATGCAGTATGCTTAGATTGTATAACAGCACCCGCTGATGCGTGGAGATCTATAGCTGGACCTATGCCTTTGACTGAAAAATCCTGCTCATGCGTACTTAACTTCAAACGCTCGCAAAGCTCACGCGTTATAAAGTTGAACTGAGAACCCGAGTCTAAAAGTACTCTACATTCGACTCGTGCTCCGCTCCTATCGTGAATCCAAACCCTTGCGGTTGACAATATGACTCGGTAAGGAGAGAAATGCTCTGGAATGCTTGTCGACGTTAAAGCGACGCCCTTGCTAGTGTCTGAATTGCTGCTACTATTCGATTGATTGTTCGCTTCTACTGATTGATCGTTAGGGTGTAACAACGTGTTATGTTTACCCTCGCACTTTCTGCAATGAGTCGACATACAATTCGCCGCGATATGATTGCTTCGCAAGCAATTACGGCAAAGTTTAAGCTCGTTTACTACGCTTTGTCTTTTCGGTACGCCTAAATCGCGGAACTTGTGGCATGAATAAATGAGGTGCGATTCTTCTTTACAATACGCACATTTGCGAGACGCTTGTTTCTCATCGCTTGTATTCGCGAAAGAATTCGATTGTGTTGCTTTATTCGGTTGGGACGACGCTCGCCCTTCCGATCGCGCTGCTGATTGTGTTTTATTCGCCTCTGGCTTTATATTCTCCGGTTCGAGAATGAGGCATCGATCCTCGAGGAAATCTGTCAAAGTGCCGACTGTGAGATTTTCCCGTTCCTTTGCATGCGCACGCCATTCGCGTCGCGTCATGCTGTCTAACTTTGAGGTTAAAAGATGAATTACTACTGCGTCCCAGGTATTAGCCCCGAGCTGCTCAATAGCACGAATATGTCGCAACATACTGTCTAATGTTTTTCGTAACTGCCCCCCAGATTCCTTCTGTATCACGGGAATGTCGAGTAGTAACTGTAAGTGACGACTTGCGATCGCGGTTTTGTCCTCGAACCTCTTTTTCAAGAGCGTCCAGGCAATTTCGTAATTCGCTGCGGAAGACTCGAGTGCTTGAATGACCTCCGCGGCACGCCCTTTCAATGACGACCGCAGATAATACATGCGTTGAATATCTGATAGGTTAACGTTTGTTTCGATTAGCCCCTGAAAACTGTCGCGAAATTGGAGCCATTGCTCAGGATTCCCGTCAAATACCGGAAAACTCATCGTCGGCAATTTGACCGTGAGATCCTGCGTGTGGCCGGCACCTCCGTTGAGGTGGGCATTGTTGTGCTGCTGATTACCCGCGTAATTGATTTGTTGATGCTGTGCTCGCTCAAGATTGACAAGAGCTCGTGCTCGACCGATTAAAGAACAATACCGTTCGTCTATGATATACCGTTCTTCATCCGCGTCGTCCAAATCCTCGATTTTATTCTGAGTGTCGTTAAAATTAGGCCATAAGCTTTGTATAAATTCGATTCTTGCTTCAAGAGTCTCGATCGGATTGCCCGACGCGCGAAAGCCCTCAAGAAATGTCTCGAAACCCGTAAGACGGGACTTAAACGTACCTCGCGCACGCCTAAGAGAGGTTAGCTCGTTTGCCATCGTGAAGCTACGCTAACTTGACACGATCTTTAGTAACGGAACGGACTTACAGGTTATGCTTAGATTGCTATACTCGATACGCTTAGCGCACGCTCGGATGCTGCTGTGATCCTCGTTGCCAAGTCGTAGAGCTGTCTGTGGAACGATGGTGCTCGACTCGTAGTAACAGCACGGCTGACCCTCGTCGATCTTAACCTCGATCCTCGCAGAATACCGGTGGGCTCGTGTCGCCGCCGGTGTCTTATCACGTGGCTACGTGATGGTGAGATCGCCGCAGTGCAAGCGTCCTGTGCTGCTTGCAAGCGCGCGAATCCGCTGTCTCAGGCTCGGCCTTGCGCACGAGTGAGTGTCTGGTGAGATCGCCGCCGTGCAAACGTCCCTTGTGTCGTCTGCAAGCGCGCCAATCCGCTTCCTCAGGCTCGGCCTTGCGCACGAGTGAGTATCCGTTGGCGCCCTTTGTTGCTGGGCCCGCCACACGAGAGAGAGAAAACGAGAGAGAGACAGCCTGACTATCCTCTCGTGCTTGCCGTTGTTTCAGGCGTCAATGCTTTTTGATGCAGTCGATCGGCTATCGCAATAACCGAGACTCACGATGCTTTCAGTACTTGCCCGCTGGACTACCTCTGCTAGATAATTTCGACAGCGTTGCCGGCAAATACTTATGTGCGTTTTCCACTGCCGGTTCGACGCACGTTACGTTGCTATGCCGCATCCGGCCAATTATACCGGAATCCGGCTCGAAGGACCACTTGTACGCACCCGGGTTGTGATGGGTGCGGGAATTACGTAACAATTTTATGCTTGATATGCTTTATTTCGTTATACTTGCACAAAATATAAATTTCTTATGACGAGCGCTAACAAACGTGTCTTCTCTTCGCCCGCCATGTTACTTCACTCTGCACTGCGACATCTCTACGCGCAGCCACCTACTAACAGACACATCTTTTTTTGAAATGGTATCCCTAGTAGGCTTAATTCACTGCATGAAACGACCCTATAACTAATTGAATAGAAGCCGAATTCAATAATTATTGAAATAAAAAAAATTCAGGTTGGATTTTGAGATCTTTTACAAGCGAAAGCGGGAACATTGATCTGCATATTGCACGTAGCAAGCCGCCTAAAACGGAGTGAAAAATTGTTGCCGATGTCAATCGATTACCGACATGCAATATGCAGATCGATGTTCCCGTTTTCGCCCGTAAAAGATGCCGAAATTCAGCCTGAATATTCTTTATTTCATTAATTATTGAATTCTGCTTCTATTCAATTAGTTAAAGGGTCGTTTCAGTCATCAGTGGATTAGGCCTACTAGGGATACCACTTAAAAAGAAAAAAACTTATCAACAATAGTACCTCATGGGTGACATGAAAAGCTATTGTTCACAAATTATACGCGCCTGAGCCTCCAGCGGCTCATAGACCGCGCGGGACGACGAGGTAAGAAGAATAGCGCTAGGCGGAGTGCCGAGCTCTGATCTAATCTCCCGGGAAAAAAAAATTAGATCTGTCGAGATATGGACCAGATCTGGCTCATCAGATCTGGCCAGATATAATTTGATCTGCAAATTGTCTCTATTTGGCCAGATCTGAACAGATATAAGCAGATCTGACTAGATATAATTTGATTTGCTAAGATGTAATTATTTACCGAATGTATCCAGATCTGCTCAGATATAATTAAAAATCATGAAGGGATGTAAAATGCTATAAAACCATAAATATATCGATACAAAATTGTGTGCCACTTTATTAAGTATAAGCGTGGACTCCGATACAACTGATATTCGATGAGGTGTACCGAACACTTGATTTATATACCGTTCTTATACTATTGTTTGTCATATTTCAAATACGAGAAACGGATCTCATCAGATGCCATCTATCGGACGATCCGACATTTGCATAAAGGCTGTAACAAAAAGATCGGGACACTGGATTATCTCGGAAAGATGACGTTTTCGGAAGAAATGTTTTGTACAAAAGTTGTAGGGTACCAAGTTGTCCATTATGCGGTGATATTTGTGTGCGCGTGTGCGCGCGCGCGCGCGTGTGTGTGTACTACACACATTCTATCAAACATTTTAATATCAAAGTCATACTTATAAACCAATAAATATTGTTAATATCAAAAAACTAACAAAAACTTTAATATTTATTCAATACTACTGTAAAATTCGTAATTTATTGCATATCCTCGCAAGGTTCGCAATCTACTACCAATACTATCCTTTTCCTCTCACTTTAACCCTTTGGACCAACGACTTAACGTTTCTTTTCGAAAGACGGAGCCCAGTTTTCTCCGCACAAGAGCCTATCTTGCACGGAGGGGCGCAGCTATCGGAAAAACATTTCATGCTTCATGGCTCTAGTGGACTCGAACCTGGTTCCTCAGATTACGAGTCTGGCGTTCTACCACTAGACCACACTGCCGCCCTATTTAATACTACTCATTTTGTACCAAACCAGCAAAAAAAGAGGCATATATTTACTTTCGAATTTCAACCGAGTCGTACATAATTGGATTTTTGAGACTCGATGCTACTTATGTTCGCACTGTTCCGTAGCGACTACGCAGGGTCCCCCTAGCGGCAAATGGTAGGGAAAGGACCAAAGTTTTTTTTACGCCATAGAGCCATCTTTATTATGTCAATAACCCCGCGATGCCAGTTACTCGAAAATTTGGCTGGATCTCTCAAACCCGAAAGTCTTTCTAGGGTTAATTATATTCTATTGCCTACCGCTAATTTATTATCAGATTTTATCTACATTTAATAATATCTTGACGCTAATTACGATTATGTTTTTCTATTATTTATATTAATTAATAATTTATTTTACGTAATAGATATATCTTAACAGTTGCTTAAGCAATCGATATATTTTACACTCCTTTTGTAAAGTAATAACCAATAATTTTGTTGTCGTGCCGCACCGTGAGGTCGTTCTCAGGGCCGGCACCGTTCGTAGGATCCGCTGGGTGGAAGAAAGACCAACACTCGCGAGATTCGTGTAGCAGTGGTTTTTAATAAAGTAGATATTTGATGTAATACACTGAATGGCCTTAGTTTCACTACCCTGACTTGCGGGTGTAACAAAGTGTATAATATGAAATAATAATAATAGACTAACGCGGTACGTGCTCGGAATCTGGACTGCCCGCCGCTTATCGGAAGGGCGGGCCTTTTATCGCGCGGAGTCGCTTCCTCGCTGTCGACTCAGCTGTCAGCGCTTTTGCTTCCGGGCTCAGGTCAGTAGCCTGGCGACTTGGTGAAGCCCGGAATGCCACCGAAGGTGTATTTGGCAATAGCCGGAACTCGTGCGCTGGCAGCTCGGTGTCGCAACGAGGCCAACTCGGCTTCCGCATTACAACAATTTTAAATAAAAAAATATGTCATCGCTATTTGGTGATTGCATCATTAATTTTATTAAAAGGAAGTAGAAGCTGTAGAAGCACTCAGCGGCTTATCATTACTATCTGGATATAAACTATCTACAGCTATCCTGATTATTTCTTGTCCAGCAGTCATGCACAAGATACAATAATATTTTTTCGGGATTGCCTTTCGTCCGCCATGTCTTATTACTTATTTGCCGTTCGGAAACTACTTACACTCGGGATACGCCCTACCCCCACCACTACTCACTCGAGTTTACCCTCAGGTAGCGTTTTCGAACGCAGCCTTAATGTGGTTTTGAAGCCATTGCAATTCAATTGTACACGCATTAAAAGCACGTTATTGGGATCTGACATGAAGGCGAGGTTTAACCAATATGGCGCCGATCAGCTCACAGTTTTGGTGGGCTTCAAATGCTATGTTATAGTCTGTTATTAAAATGTTAATATCTGTTCGCGAAATCGCTGATTAATCCCGGCGATAGAAGCGGGATGAGAAGGACGCGCGTGGAAGGTGTTAACAAATTATTTCTTTAATTTATGTGTAACTCAGAACACAGTCTGAGCCGTCTTTAATGCGTTAAAAATGTACAATCTGACCTGAGAAACGATGAGCGGTGAATAAATGAGAAGTCTTTAGATTGTCCGTGAGTACGAGAGACAATTATATTAATTGCCCTCCTCGTGGTGATTAGCCCGTGAGCCGGTGAGACACGTGGCGGTCGGCACTCGCGCACGTGTGAGCCTGATTCGTCGTGTCGATGTACCAGAGTTGGACGAGCGGTCTCTTTAGACGTTAGTAAAGTATCTCGGCAGCTTCAATCACTGCGGTAGGCATTTCAATTCGTATTCACAAATCAAATGCACAGAGTACACGTCGTACGTCTGATCACTGCGCGGCCATTTGTACGACTCTGTGTGTCGCGAGGAAGAAGTTGGCGATGAGCGCGCCCGTGCTTACGCAAGTTGCGGCAACTTCCGGCGATTGGGCCCGTCGATATCCAATTGATGCTGCCATCTGATCGGATGGCGCAGTGTGATAACGGAATTTCGAACAATATCCATGGAAAATATTTGTGATTGGGCTGGTGCAAATCCTGCGCAGAGAAAGTTTATTGAAGACGAAAGAGTTTTAAAAGCAGGACATATAATTAAATGTGAAATAAATGAACAAAACATGAGAAGTGATGTTGTGAGCTTTACAGCTCTGTGTTTACAAACTTCTCACAGCAGTTTTCTTCAAGCGTCTCGTTTTTGCAACATCTATCATCAAATTATTCACCGTTAATTATTATTGAAAATGTATTATTTACACATTCATGCTTTTGGTTAAACAAAATCTCAAACTAATTTTTCCTGTCAAAAATTAACGGTAAAAGTTTACAATAACTTACACAGCTCGGATTACTTTGACCTTGACAGTATTATGTCCTTGACATATGTTGTCAAGGACATAATACTGAGTAACTTTTCCTTATAACTTAGTCGGCGGTCGCTGCTTATTAAAAAGTTATAAACAAAAAAAGTTTGAAAAATATAGCAGCTATTTTGAGTATTGGAAGGCATAAATGACTAATATATATGTCGAAATAGTTTACGC